CCGCCTCGTCTTCATCCATGCTGCTGCTGTCAGTGCTTCCGTCACCGAGGCAAACGATCGAGCTTGCGGAGGGCGTTCTCGTGCGCGCGCGCTTGGCGCCGGGTTGCTGGTTCTGGCTGGTGGAGGTAGGGACGCCTGCCGCCTCCTGGCTACTGTCGGATCGAGTAGCCTTGTACAGAGTGTCCGATGCTTTCTGGCCGGCCTTCCGGATCCGAGCCCGCTCCTTTCGACCGGGAAGGGAGACGACGCCGTTTACGACCGAGGGCCTCGCTGGGCAGTCTGTGTGGCCGGCTTGGAAGGGGCCGCAGCAGTTGGGACACTGGGGCCTGGCCATGCAAGGTCCCGTTTCGTGTGAGTCGGAAGGTCTTCCGCAGTTGCTGCAAGTCGGTCGTCGTCCGCAGAACCGGTTGGCGTGGTAGCCCTGGCAGCCGGGGTCATGTCGGATGAGCGTCCTTCGTTTTTTGATGGGCAGAGATCTGCCGCTTTGGTTGAAGAGCCTGAAGGGCGTGACCTCTGATGTGAATGATATGAGCCAAGATATTTCGTTCGTGACTGGGTTGGGCCCAAGGCGGGACGGTCGAGCAAGGACAGGCTTCTGTCCTGTCTGTGCGAAGACCTCATCTTCAACGAGTGTGGCTGGGTCCAGGACGTCCCCGCCAATGCTGTGTAGTTTTGTTGGGCATCGCGGCACAACGTATGTGTGCCACTTGATAGGCGTCTCGACTTGGTGGGCGCCGAGGCATTCCGCCAGCTTTGCCTTACTTGTAAGTAGTCTTTCCTGTATTTGCTTGTTTCGCGGCTTCAGAGAGTAACCTGTGCTGATATGGTAGACGTGGGGAAGGTCCGCTAGCCCCAGGCCAACGGCCTTACAGACGATCTGTCGTACGGCGAACGGTGCGATCTTCCGAGCGGCCGCTAAGCTTTCTTCCGGGACGCGGGCAAAGATGCGGAGGTCCTCCTTCGGCTGCGCCTGCGGCTGATCCTCGGCGGGGAGTGTGGCCTTCGGGCGGGCAGAGCTCTGGCAGCTCTGGCCGCTCCGGGTCGCCGCAGTGGTGTTGCCCGCCATCGGTGCGACGACAGCCGCCCAACTCCGGGCCGCTATTGGGCTTGTCTCGTGATTGATCAGTCTCTTGAGGGTTTGAATGACATAGGCAGTGGCTTCTTTCGCGATCTGCTTTCTAGAACCGTCAAAGCTGGCGACAACGCTGTCGACGGACCGTGCAATGGTCAGAAAGACGTCTTTCCGTGCCTCGTACTGTCTAGCTTCTTCTGCAAGGGCTGTCAAGACGGACCCTGTGGCAGATCCGCTCGGAGCAGATGCGGTAGAGGCTGCGGGCCCCTCGGCCGAGGTAGGGGCGTCGGTGGTGGCATCAAGCTGGCTTCCCGTTAGGCTGGGCCGGGTCGGCTGTGCCTCGGCGTCGCGGCGTCGCTTAGCTCTTGAGGTGGGGTTCGGCTCCGGAGGTGTCCCGGAGCCTGGTTCGGGGTCGGCTTGGTCGGCCGACATCAGTCCGGTGCCCGACGGCGGCTGTGAGGCCATCGCGGATGCGGGCTCCGGCAAGGGGAGGTGAAGAGTTTTCGGCTGTTAGTAATTTGGTGGTAGGCTCACTCATTCACTAACAGCAGATGCCAAGAAAAATTAGGCGAGAGGGAAGTTGTCCTCCCCAATAGTCGCCTTCGTCGTCTTCAGTACGACCACCGGCCGACACCGTTTGCCGGTATTGAGCCATTTGGGACTCCTCAGCAGTTAAAAAATATGTTCCAGTCGACTCAGGAAAGTTGGGAATAAACCAAAAGCTGGCAAGACCGATAATAATGCTGACAACTCCTGTGACTGTGTTAGTGAAGGGGATTCTCACCGCAACCTATAAAAACTGACCCTCAAGAAGCAAGAACCACTGCCATGCTGATAGTCCAGCTACATCATTCATATTTCGGAGAACCCCAGCAGCCAGAAGGCCCGACACCGCCTGCGAAATGGTGTTTCCGGCGTGCCAAATACCCATGCGGAGGGGAGACTCATGCTTCGTGTACCAAGACGACGTCAACAAAGACACCGCTGGCACAAAAGGGCCCTCAGTCAGGCCTACAACAAAGCGACACAGGAGAAAGCCCCAGCCGGCAGTGACAGCAGGCATACATATAGTGGTGATGGACCATCCCAGCATACAGCACGGAAGTAGGATTCTTGGCTTTCCCTTCGCGATTATAACATTTGCGGGAACTTGCGAAATGATGTATCCGACATAGAAAAGCGAGATACCGGCGGACCACACCGTGTCTGACATGTGTAAATCATCTTGCATGCCGGCGAGTCGTGTGTTCGAGACGTTGATGCGGTCTAGATAACTGAATATGGAGAGTCAACAACTGAAGGGGTACACTATTAACCGAACATAGGAGAAGGACGGGGGAAGCTTCGAGACTCACTTCATCATGAGCATGACACACACCATCGGGAGGAATTTCCAATCGAGGCGTTTGCGGACAGCTCTATCGAGTGCTTTAAGCTCCTCAGGGGGTTTGTCTCTGATGAGGTCGTACGGCTCCAGTAAAGGGTCGCGGGTGGGAGCATTTTCTTCCCACTCAATCCCGACTTTGACATCGACTGAGCCGCGTTTGGAGCTGGGAAGAGTTGCCATGGTAACAGAAGACTCTCTGATTTAGTAGAATGAGGCACGATAGGAAGGTTTTGGAAATGGTATCTGACAAGAAGATTCGACATCTTTTGTACTCTTGCGACACAATGGCCTTGGCCTGATGCTCAGTTGGGAACCAGCAATTTTCGACAACAATTCCAGAGCCAAACAAGCATTCAACTTCCCCGCATTGAAGCCCAGTTTCCCCACGGAAGGATTGTGGATGTGTTGGGGCTGTCTGGGGTTGGGCTAGCCTCTGCCACCACCGGAGCGTGTCCGATAATTGACGACCCTGCCCGGACTAGGTCCGGTCAGCAACGGCTTTTGCAACCGGCCAAGTTCTTTGAAGTGAAGATTATGCCGGAACTAGTGATAATTAATGCTCTGGTATTTTACTCCATTGGCGAGAATCCCCATGCGGACCTCCAGACTCAGGCGTACTGCTTTAGCTGCTTCATGCTATTGATCAAGCAATCCCGGCTCAGCTGACTGGTAAATTCAGTACTCATCACGTATTATAAAGGGGAATCATGGTGCAGAGTATTACGCCCCCGTTTTATCTCGCTGTATCCGGCTCCATCCACAATCTACATAGTTTACCAAAAACATCTATGCAGGCATAGCTGACACGGAAGATGAAGTTTAAGGGTACTTGCGAGAAGTGTAACCCAGATTGCCGCCCTCGCCTCTCTCTACTCGACTCCATGAGCCTTAACACAGAGCTCATATAGCGAGCTGTAACCGTCTACGTGAAGGTACATCGGATGAGTTGCTGAGATCGAAGTGGAATAATGTTTGGGAAGTGGCTCCACGAGACGGTCTTGGAAAAGGTTAGCCAAATCATATTTGCAGAGGACCGGAAAACGCCGAAATCGTCTCACATTAGGTGTTGTTCCGTCACTTTCCATATTCCTGGTGGAAAGACTAAGCAAGACCTGTTGGAACGCTGCAAGTGCAGGAAACCGTGATGCCACGATTGTCACAAGCGTCGAGGCCTTGCCAATGACTTCTGTCACTTCAGCGAGTCGACGCATGGCAAAATTATCTTGGCTTCTTCGACGGGTGAGGCATACAAAAGCGACCGCAGCTTGAAAAATGTCGTATGCATCAATGAAGCTGCAAACAAAACTCCCCTTGACAAACAGATCGTAAGATCGGTTGATAAACTGATATGATGCGTTGATAGTATCTGTCTCAAGATCTTGGTCGTTTCCTAGCCATAAATCATCATCCCTTACGATTGCTTGAGGCGGTGAAGATTTAAGATGAATCAATGCCCGACAAGATAGTTGTTCGAAAAGATACAGAAGGTGCCGCGTAGAAGGCGATTGACGATCAACGTTGGGTGGTAGATCTCTCCAATGAATGATATTACTGTAGGCAAGTAGAATATTCTCTTGTTTTCCCGACCGGATGCTTGAAACCAATCGTGAGTAGAGTACAAGATAGCGAAGGGTTTGCAATCTGTGATGCGGCGTCTCCATCGAACTGGATAGACCATCATCTTTCGCTGGGAGCTGCATCACTTTAGTCAACTTCAGACGGACCGAGAAGCCGTCTATGTGGTGCGCTCAACTCACTTGTACCGAAATATCATCATCCTGGATGCTCAAAGGGCGGTCCATGATAAGGCTGAGCATGCTAGGGCCAAGTTTAGTACCAGAAATCCTAAGTTTTTCACGGACACAGTCATAGCATACCGGTCAAAAGAGTAAACAGCCCAAAACATCCATCGCCGTCTGTTGGCTTCAGATATCCTCAAGCTAGAGTGCAGATCTGGGTCTCGGTGCAGGCCGATTGAGATACATGTCTTGATTCCCAGACCCAGTAGATGCCAGGCGGAACCACCAGAGGAGTTGAATAGAGAGTAGATAGTAAGCATGATCATGCAGTGTATATGCTCAAGGGCTGATTCGGTGCGCAGAATGGAAGGAAGTTCGCTGAGAGCGGCAGAATGAAGGTTTGAGCTAAGAAATGATAAATGAGTAGAAGTCGGAGAAACTGAAATCCCAATAGCACAAGCCATGTGAAGGTTGAAAACATGTAACGGCGGAGGCTTCTGTGCCGCATGGCTTTGAGTTCTGTATGCCAAAACACCCTCACATTGCTGGAGAAATATGTCCTCATCGATGTATGGCATAATAATTGGCCATTCCAGGAATTTTCGGATATGCTCAAGCGTTAGATCCCGACTTCCCAAATTGAGGCTACTACTCATATCAGGAGTCTGGGGTGCCGGCATCGCTGTGGATGGGTCGCGTCCATCAATAGCCAGGGCCCCCGAGATCACCTCTGCTAGGGAAAACTTCCTAGGTAGATCATCGGAATTATCTCGGGGCTCGGCCATTGCATTTCGTGATAAGAAGCCGATTGCCCCCATCGTGGCTCTCACAGATGAATCTTCGGTGGCATGTCTATTCGTGTTGACAGGGTCGGTTGTACGGCTTGAGGTTGTCGACATAGCATCACGGGGTGTCGCAAGACTTTCATCCATAGGAGAATGGCCATGACATGAACCAGCTCGACCGCTGTGCGTACGCGAGCGTTTTCGATGGAGCGATTCTAATTCCAGATCGGCAATCCGCCTTTTCAATGACGCGACATAACTGAGAACTGTCAGCGAGCATATCATCGGACAGAAGACTAGGACATACAATTACCCAGTGACAGAAGTGTGAGAGAGCTCAGATACTGTGTTAAAATCTTGGTTCCGTGGGATACACTCGGCACCTAGCCCACTACATGAGGTGCACGCTGGCAGACGTCGGTCGCACTGATGATTGTCAGCCAACACTGATGAAGATGGAGTCCAGACATCGATATTATAACTTTTTGCTTCCTCTTCCAACATCTTTCGCAAGCTTGTGCGCGAGTCTCCGTGGTTGCCAAGAGCGGCTCAGATATTCCCCTTGAGTTCGAGGCGTCCTGCGCACCTGCAGATGAAGTCGAACTCATAGTCCGACAGTCTATCCTTTGATAGTAGATATTTCAGAGTCCGCGATGAGGCAGATAGTTCAGGTGATCAGTTGGGAACAGATAGGCGCCTTCAAGTTGGCAGGAAATGCGATGTGGAAGCTGGAGGCCCAGAGTCTCGCACCTCCGACTGTTTGCCGATGTTGCGGGGCTTGACCCCCAAGCCTCCGTGGGGAAGGGTGGGGAGGATCTAATTGGACCACCCCGACACCTCATAGACATACCTACATCCCAGTCCTAGTCGGGATAGGGACTAGAGTAAAGAGGCTGCTATGCGAGTTGATAAAAAAGTAATGAAGTCTAATTTAAGGCATCTATAAGTGACGGTCAGGATTTCAAAAGACGACGTGATGAGTAGGAGATTTATCCTCAATTCTACATGTATATTTTTCGTGTGCCACACAGCAATATTTGTTGTCGTAAGAGAGATACTGTCTGTGGTGAAATCTATGATTTGCCATTTGTATGGGCAGTTGTCCTGTCACTGAGGCTAGCCATCTCCGCCGCTCTCTTCGTGGCACCGGCAATAAGCAAGGGACCATCCGTCGCAGCCATGACCCAGCGAGCACCCATTTGACAGAACTTTTCTACGAGGTCCATGCGTGAGTGAAGACCTCCCACTCCAACCCACTTCCCGTGCTTATTGCAGGCAGCGATCGTCCGCTCATAGGCCTCTGTGAGTCTAGGGTTTTCGTAGTCGCCCGGGATACCCATCTCCGCCGTCAGATCGTTGGTACCGATAAGTAGAGAGTCCACGCCTTCCACTGCTGCAATCTCGTCGACCAGCTCTAGTGCCTCAAGAGTTTCGATCATTGGTATAACCAGAGTAGCGTCATTTGTGATGGGATTTGAGACCTTGGCAGGAATCGTACGGAACTGATAATGAGGAAGTCCGTTGGTCGATGATCGTGTGCCGATAGGTTGGAACTTGGCAGCAGCAACAACGTCTCGTGCATCTTGTACACTGCGAATATGCGGCACAATAACACCGAGGGCACCGCCGTCTAAGATCCTTGAGACAAAAAAGGGATCCTTGCTGGGCGCGCGTACGATAGGCGAGATCCCGGCGTACAGCGCAGCGATGCACAATTGGGAGGTCGTCTCGAGATCGAATGAGGAATGCTCCATATCGACTAGGATCCCGTCGAATCCTGCTGTCTTGGCCATCATGGGAAGTTCTACCGACTTGACTAGTTTGACGCTCAGGGTCGATGCAACCTCATCGCGAATGAGTTTCTCCTTGAACGAGTGGGGAATAGAAACGGCCATTTCGGTTGAGAGGGAAAATGTTGGATGTTGAGGACTATGATTGATTGATTTGCTGTGTAATGGAATTCTTGGAACGCTTGTGACAAAGGTATTGTTATATGACTTTCCAGTCCTTGTTCGTGGACGGACGCCCGGAGGCATGCCGAGGATCTCCATAACGTCGTCGGCGCTTCCGCAAAGTTTTCGGCCTTCCGATGCCATGTCAAATCCAATGATCACCGAATTACTCGACCAGTCGTATGAAAGCTGTCTTTAGTGGCGTTCTATCGTGAGATTGCGGCTGGGATATGGAGCTACCGGGGGCCGTCCGATACCCTCGGACCACTTCCGGACGGATGTACAAGGCATGAATAACGACCAGACTTGGTTGCCACTTTGTGATCATTGTTCCCCATAGCTCGTTATGTATTTTATGAGTCGAATCGCAGTCCTCCAAATCTTCATCCACCTCCATCCACCTCCATCCACAGCGACCTCCAGACAAGCTTGAAAATTGTGGATCGAGACCATCGAGCAGCAGGGACTCATTTATCTTCACTAGCGGCCGTTCTTGTCCCACTACGATCAATCATCTCGTCAATATGGCTCCAGGACTTGTGTCTGATCAACCTGAAAGCGCTTTCCTCGATACTAAGCCAACCGTATATGTCTTGGATTCATTCCAGCCTGAGATCATCGACTTCTGCAAACATAACTTCAACGCGATCCTACCTGGACAATCCGAACATGCCAACTGGAGGGAAAACGCTCGTTTCCTCCTTGTGCGGAACTCGCGTCTTACAGCCGAGGATATCGCTGCTTGCCCACATCTTCTTGCAATAGGAAAGCAAGGTGTCGGTATTGACAAGATCGATGTTGATGACTGCTCCAGACGCGGCATCAAGATCTTCAACACACCCGGCGTCAATGCACGAGCTGTGGCTGAACTTGTCCTGGCTCTGACAACGGCCGTAGCAAGACAAGTGGGAAGCATTACACGCAAGCAAACTTCTGGTCTTCTTGTGCCCAAGGAGAAGTGCACGGGTATCATTTTGCATCGCAAGACAATTGGCATACTCGGCATGGGCAACATTGGAAAGGCCGTTGCCCAGATCTTCCGCGGAGCGTTTGAAGCTGACATTGTGGCCTACGATCCCTACTTACCTAACGAGGCCTGGACTGACATCCCTCATCACCGGGCCCAGACGGTGTCAGATCTGATATCAGTTTCCGACGTTGTGACGGTCCACATGCCGTTGACATCCTCCACCAGAGATCTCATTGGCTATGAACAATTCAAAATCATGAAGGAAACAGCCATAGTTATCAACACAGCTCGGGGAGGTATCATAAACGAGTGTGGACTAGAACAAGCCTTATCGGAAGGCCTCATCTGGGGTGCCGGCTTAGACTGCCACGAGGAGGAACCCCCCAGCAGGGAGAAGTACGGATCCTTATGGGACGTTGGTGCGGTCAGTACACCGCATATTGGAGCAGCAACGAGAGAGACTCAAGTCCAAACGGGCATGGCGGCAGCTACTAAGCTGTTTGAATATGCCAGAAGTAGGGCGTAGATGGAAAGTGGCGCTGAATCATAGTTGATGCTGATATACTTCTATTGTACTTGAATCTTGGGTCAGTCGAGAGCCGTGCCGATGTGGCCGAAAACCTATTGTGAAATATTGCTGCCTGCAGAATCACTGCTGAGATTTACTGCAAGTCGTATGTACTATTGGAACTCAAACAAATCCAACGCTCCAATGTGCCTTTCTGGATCGCCGTACACATATTCCCCCAAGACAGATTCCATATTCCATAGTGCCTCGTCATTCAAAAGCGCCCAGTCCAATAAGTCGCTTCCCGGGGAAAAGTTGTCTGGGGCTGCTATTGGCCTACCCGTGGTTCTCGAACCATAGCTTGATGTTGCAGAATTGCCCACCCTGGCTCTTTCAACGGGAGGCACGAACGAGAAGTTGGTTGTAATGCTTTCTCGAAAGTTTTGTTCTTGAAGCCTGGCATCCGAATGCGTGACCAGGGCACCTGGTCCTGACACGCCTTGCGAAGTAAGAATCGACGATCTTGAGATTTCTAGGGGATCAAAAGATCTTTCCGATGATGGCTGGAGCCCGGAGATCATGTAATTCAGGGTATTGACTTGGGACAGGACATCTGATTGTAATGCCTCAAGAATTTTGTCTAGTTTTCGAGTGGTGTTCCGTCGAAGAGCTTCAAAAACGGCAACATAATGTTTGGCACTTGGTAACTGCTCCGCCATGTTCTTTAGTGTCTCTTCACATTGGATCAGCCCGGCTGAAGCATCCGAGAGACCTTCCTTCTCTAGCTTAGTTGCAGTCGAGACACAAAACAGCACCGAGAGGCCAGCCGTGAACATCATATGAAAATAGCTGCGGGTGTGCGTGGTCAGTGGTCGTTGTTGGCACAGTTTCGAGTAAGCCCAAATAGTTTGAAGTGCAGTTTTGAGACATAGGTTGGAAATATGACGTGGCGCCTTCCCGGCTCGTTTGGGCATAAGGTCAATGGCTCGTCGGACTAGGTAGAGTTTCTCCCTAGCCAGTAAAAGATCGTACCAATCCTGCGACTCATAAAGACATTTGGGTTGCTGGAACACTGGGCAATCATCTCTCCAGTGTTGTAGGTCTTGCATCAAGCAGCTGAGAGTTGTGTATATATGACCAGGAGCCAGATGAGCCTTTGAAGGCTGGATATAGTTGCACGCAAGTCTAGAAAATTCGGAATGAATCCTGGATGAGATTTGTCGCAAACGCACGGAGATGAAGAAGACAGTCATCTCTGTCGTGTCAAGGGTGACGTGCGATGATCGAAAGGCCTCAAAATCGCTTGAAAATTGATCTGCAGTAACAAGATCCTCGTCGTTTGCGTCTGCCGGAAAGCTGGCTTCAATGTCGCGATCATCAATACTGAATGGTTTTCCCAGGACGGTAGAGCTATATCTGTCAATCATGTAGACTTGCCAGAACACTCGTCGCTTCATCTGAACATCCATGAGGTTCGTGGAGTTACTTCCATTGAGGTGCAATCCTTGTTCGATGCATAGACGACCACATAGCCGAACCACATCCCAAATGGACGTGCCTAGTTAAAATGAGTATGGCTTCTCATTAATTGATGGAATGTGGTATGGGGCCTACCTATCCGATGGTAGATACCAAAGCGGCATATCAAGAGAAGGTCTTGAATGGAGGCTAGGCCCCGTGTGAAAAAGTCTGATCCCATACGTTGCAGGGCCGCATCCAATGGCAATTGCCAACTGCCCTCCAGGTTGCGCCTGCGATCATTTGGGGGCTGGGAACCTTTTTCACGCCTGAGTCCCCCCGTTTTCTGCTGTCTCGTGGGAAGCCAACAGAGGCTCTCAAGGTTCTTTGCGACTTCCGACGTCTTCCGGCCGATAATCCGTATGTGGATGACGAGTTTCGTGCGATGCAAGCCCAGTTGGAGCGCGAATTGGAGATTGTGTCAGGCGCTTCAGTTTTGGATCTCGCCAAGGAGACGTGGACCGATATACCAAACAGACGACGGTTCGTATTGATGTTTCTAGCGCACTTGTTTTCCCAGTGGAGCGGAGCCAATGCGATGTAAGTACAATGACCCCTACAACAAGAATGCTCCTCTAACTTGTGGCCCTATTAAGCACGCAGTATAGTCCGTCCATATTTGGACATCTAGGCATTCAAGGCGAAGAGGGCCGCCTTCTTGCTACTGGAGTCTATGCTATTGTCAAATTCGTTTCAGTCTTGATATTCTCGGTCTTTGTTATCGATTTTATCGGCAGAAGACGTTCTCTTCTTACTGGCATATGTCTCCAAATTACCACGCTTCTGTTCATTGGTATTTACCTCAAGGTCACCAATGGACGTGATCCAGAAGACATTTCTGCAGACCCGACGGCGAGGCGAGCAAGCGAGGCCGCCATCGCGGCCATCTACTTGCATGCAATCGCATGGTCCATAGGATGGTTTTCCATTCCATATCTCGTCAGCGCAGAAGTTTTTCCCATCAGAATTAGATCCCTCTGCGTATCTGTTCTCATGGCCTTTCATTGGGCCTTTTACTTTGGCTGCTCGCGAGCTATGCCATCCCTTCTGGCCGCTACCGAACGATATGGTGCATTCATATTCTTCGCGAGCATCTGTTCTGTGTCGCTCGTCTACGTCTATCTTGCTATGCCGGAAACCTCTGGGAGATCCTTGGAGTCCATGGAGAACCTATTCAATCGGCCGTGGTACACGGTATACAAGGTTGCGTATCCAAAGGCCGAAGATCTCGCAGCTCGCCCGGTGGTAGGAGATGGCGACGGTAGAAGGGATGGAGGAAAGGAAGGAGAGAATGGTGCGGTCATCCACGTGGCTTAAGACTTGAAAGCATATCCTGTAGATTTTATGGCTGACAGCTTGATATCCGAAGGGAAAGGGCCGGCTAACGATGGTGACAATTTCCTGTCTTCTCAATTTTTCCCCTCATCTTTAGTAAAGACAGATTCAGTACGGTAATGCTTGTTAATATGGAAAGGGCCCAGCCATGTTGTCAAAGCCCTTTTGGGCAAAGGCTCTGTTTGGGAATTCTACCCGAATTTTCTGCCTTGTCATTCTTTCTGACAAGGAAAGTCTGAGCTTAAGGGGTAAGGTGGGATACTTTGAGGATCTCTGAGTCTAAAAGCACTGAGCGCCAAGCGTCAAGTGTCTCCAAGATCTACGCCCTACTTTCTCACCTCCCAAGTCTAACAGTGACGTAATACACACTTTTTCTGAATGTATGTTGAACATAAGTAGATGGAATGATCAGAACTCAGCAACTAAAGATCAGCCGAGGACTTTCCGTGGCTCTGCGGCTTGCTCTGGAGTGTCGCGACACAGACCGGTCTGGAAACCCCGCGCTGCTTAAACATCCATCGTCCGAGGCCTGATATGGCGGACTTTAGCTTTCTCCATTCCTGCCTTAGCATAAGGCGGAACGAGTAGAATACTGCAGTCGTCCCGAATCTTGAACTTCCCACTCCTTCAAGCCATCATCGCGATGATATTCATGATTACACAAGACCATTCAGATCCTGCGCGGGTGCCGACGGACTCCATGTCTGAGCTCCAAACCTTGTACACCGGACGACTCCAGCTGTTCCCCCGTGGCCCCAGCTTCCTCTTGTACGCCAACCTGAGTGGCTAGGGCAACTTCCCAAAGCAACCGTAGAACACGCATCACGCGTCAGTATGGTTTCAAACATCGTATACGATCAGCTACGGCTGACCAATATCGCTGGTCGGTCGAGTTGGGGGATTCCGACGATCGTTGGCAGAGTCAGCAAAGTCCTGCTGTCTACTGTTATAAAGTCGATGTGTCTCGTGTTCTCGCCAGGCTTGTGAATAGTTCGTGCTGTAAAAGAGCTTCTGTCATTTTTAAAAACATGGATGTTTTGAAGACAAACCCCCTCTATCTCGGCGGTGCGCTCGTATGCGTTGCCCTGGCTGCGGTATGTTTCCGACTAGCAGGACTTCGGAATACACTGATGCAATTCACATGTAACTTCCACTGACAAATGGCTTGCCAGTACGTCTATGCCGGGCTCACAAACCCGTTGTCGAATATTCCTGGGCCATGGTACACCAGGTTCACAACACTGCCATCGACCTTCAAGGTCATCACCGCACACCACCCTGATTGGATCCACGATTTACACGCCAAGTACGGACCGGTAGTGCGGTACAGTCCATACGAGGTCGATATTTCTGATCCACCAACATGCCAGCGGATTCACAGTGTAAAGACTGGATTCTTCAAGTCGCCATTCTACTCACTCCTCATCACCGATTCTTCTAGCGTGTTTAATGAGATACGCCCAGAAATCCATCGCAAGTACAAGCGCTTGCTGTCAAACCCCATGTCAGAAACTGGCTTGAAGACGTTCCTCCCTCGCATCGACAGTAAGGTTCGCTTGGCTATTGAGCGTATCCGTGACGAAAACAAGGTTCGAGGTGCAGCCGATATCGCCAAGTGGTTCATGTTCCTCTCCTTTGATGTTATTGGTGATCTAGCTTTTGGCGAGTCCTTCGGCAACTTGGAAAGCGGCAAGGTATGTGGCCTCCTTTTCTGAAGGTCCTGACGAGATCTTTGGGGTCTACACTGACGCTCATGGTTCTGCGTAGAAAAATCGATCTGTCAACGACTTCGTCAGCCTTGGTTTCGTCGGCGGACTTCGATCCATGTTCCCCACAATCGCCCAAATCTCCCTCTACCTCCCGATCCCAGTCTTCAAAGAGGCCACCGCGATCCAATATCGCACCTTTGACTACGCTCAAGGTGCTCTGGACCGCCACGCCAAGCGCGTTGAAGAGACTGGATCTGACCCTCACCCGACAGTGTTCTCGAAGCTCTACAACGCTGGCGAGGAAGAGACCTGGAACCCGATCGAGATCCGCGACAACGCGCAGGTCTTCATCGTCGGTGGCAGCGACACGACCGCTAACTCGATGATCTACCTTGTCTGGGCAGTGTGCAAGATTCCCGAAATCAAGATCAAGCTCATGAAGGAACTGGACGGCCTGCCGGACAACTATACCTACGACCAGTTGAAGGAGCTGACGTATGTGAACTGGATTGTCAATGAGACACTTCGGCTTTACACGGCTCTGCCGTGTGGACTTCCGAGGATAGTGCCTCCCGGCGGTGCGGAGCTTTCGGGGCAGTTTATTCCCGAAGGATTCACCGTCACAACGCAGGCGTACAGTCTTCACCGGGACGAACATGCGTTCCCCGACCCGTATCGATTCTATCCTGAGAGATGGGAGAATACCACGCAGGAGATGAAGGATTGCACCATGCCTTTTGGCGGTGGTGCCCGGAGTAAGCACTGTTCAGAACAACGGCAACTCTTTTCAATGAGACGACTTTTGCTGACGGCTAGGAACAGCTTGCTTGGGAAGGCATTTGGCTCGCATAGAGCTCCGGCTCATCACTGCCAGGTTTTTCAAGGCTTTCCCGAAAGCAGTTGTGTCTGATCTCGAAGGAATGTGCGACAAGGATATGGAGCCAGCGTTGCATTTCCTAATGGTTCCCAGCGGTCATCGATGCTTAATTAAGCTCGATGGGTAACTGTACATCGTATTGTTGGCATAGAAAAGAGCATGAGGAATATCATGGGTTCTCTAAACATGTCGAGCAGTGCCGTGAGCCTCGTTTTCGCGAACCAACGTGGAGCCAAGTCAGGTCCGTGGCAGCGTAGAAGCGGGCCAGAAGCTGAAGCTGGCTTCCGGACCTCTTGCGGAAGCAGAAAAGATCCGGCGCCTGCGTATCTCAGCCTGCTTACGTGGGACGATGACTGACCGTATGGAGACTTCAGAGCTGGAGTCAAGCTTAGCTGACACACCTGTAGTGTTCTTTTCGGAAGCCAAGGCGTTTGGTCCGGTGGGGAATTCGGATGCGAGAGTAAACTTTCCCATACCATGCCGCATTGTGGATCTGGGGTACGGACCGCGAAAGACGAGTGTGCTCATATTCAGATCCTCTTCATATCATGACGAAGCCAATTGAGTGGGATTAAGTGACTTTGTCAAGCCGAGACTTTGAAGGAGAGTAGGCAGCCCTGTGTCGGTTGCTTGATGGAAGGGGGATCTCAGCTCACTCCGTGGATGACAAAGACACAGCTGAGCTGCAGCAACCCGCGGGTGGTACGGAGCGGGGCTCAAGGGCGCCGTGCCCCGCCATCGGCTGCAAGCACCCCACTACCCCGCCGCGGCCCCTTGCTGCGGAATGGTTCGACCACGCCCTATGACTTCATGCTGAGCCGCCCGTCGTGCAGACTTCATATGTAAGCCTCAACTCGCACACACCTCCTCACCGCCACATCCAATTCGTAATCTCGTACCCTCTTCGAAGCCTCAATCGACTTGCCCTCAGCTCATCCCATCTCATTGACACCTCACTCACCGACGCAATGGCCGAAACTCCAAGTGCAAAGCGTCAAAAGTCCTCTAAGGATGTCTCCTACGAACTCATCTACTGGCCAGGACTTCCCGGTCGCGGTGAGCACGTCCGTCTCCTCCTCGAGGAGGCCGGCGCCGAGTACACTGATACCGCACAAATCGAGGACGGCGTCAAGAGCGTCCTGGCCCAGATCGACGACAAGAACCTGGGCGATGAGCATAACCCGCCTCCCTTGGCGCCCCCCATCCTCAAGCACGGAGACCTCCTCATCAGCCAGACGCCCAACATCTTGCTCTACTTAGGACCACGCCTCGGCCTCGCACCCAAGATCTCAGAGGATGACGACGGCATCTACATTGTCAACGGCCTCGCTCTGACTGCGCTAGACGGACTCAGTAATGAGGCTCACGACACGCACCACCCTATCACGACGGGGCTGTACTACGAGGACCAGAAGGAGGAGAGTAAACTCAAGGCGAAGGACTACATCGCGAACCGGTTGCCCAAGTTCTTTGGGTACTTTGAGCGGGTGCTCAAGAGCAGGGCCAGCGGCGAAGGTCCTTGGCTCTATGGAGGGTATCTGACATACGCTGATTTGGTGCTCTTCCAGGTGAGAAATTCCTTCCAGAAGCAATGTGACCCTATAGATGCTTACTCTAGCAGTGTGTTGATGGTCTCAAATTCGCGTTCCCCAATGCTCTGAAGCGGATCGAGGGTACTGGTGACTACAAGGGTCTCTTTGCTCTCTATGATGCCGTCAAGGGCCGACCCAAGATCAAAGAATATCTTGCTAGCGATCGTAGACAAAAGTACTCTCAGGGCATCTACCGTCACTACCCTGAATTGGATGAAGAGTGACAATGAGGATTATGTTATCTAAAAGAGCCCATTGCTTTAAGATATGTCATGATGGATGAGCTGCAATGATAATCATTTGTACCAAATCGAAAAGTTTTCTATGTTGCTTTCAACGAATGTATCACCTTGAAATTGCATGCCTTTGTTTCTCCGGTTATCCCAACCCCGACAGCCCGCTCGCCCTTGCCGTCTGTTGCGATCTCATACTGTTTTGAGAATTCACCCAGTGGTTTATTGTTCTGCCTTAGGACACAGCAATTCCTCGCGTCTTCACAGCCTTTAGAGCCTACCTCACCTTTTCTCCACACCAACTCAACCTCTTGACCCTTTATCTCATTGCCACACCGAACGCTTTTTTAGACTTCCAATTGCACCACCAAAGCATACACTTACTCAGTGGTCTTGGATATAGAGAGCGATATCGGAAGATCACGTTACTCGGTAATTTTTAGGCCGCCCATTATGAGCGATCAACAGGATCCCGCACCTCTCAAGGATCCATCGAATAAGGAGTCGACCCCCAACGCTCCTGGCAACCAAAATCCATCGTTTGCCAAGCTCGCGAGTGCTTGGGGTCCCTACATACCTCCCGACACTAGCTACTACGCCATAGAGGTGAGTATCCCCAGCAGTCTGTTTACCATTTGCCAGTGCCGCCTTAATATCACACCACTGACTGACGTCAATGGCTTTGATAGTACGATGACCCGGTCCTACTGGAGAATATCAAAATGCTCAAAGAACTTACGGCTGAGTACGATCAAGATCCCACCGACCTTCTCGACGTTGTGATGAGAGTTCCGCCTAGGCTGAGCAAGTCGATGGTTCACCTGGTGGTTGGGCTCCTTCAACAGCAAAAGTTGCTCGAAAGTGTACTTATGGTGACGGAGCTGCGTGCCGAGTATGATGCTGGGGCCATCAGAGACACAAAGAACGGCCAAAGCGTGAAGAAGGAGAAGAAAAGGACAAAGACTAGAAAGTCGGCCAACGTCAAGAAAGACAACGATAACGCTGAGAATGGAGATTTCGTGGCCTCCAAGGGTCCAGAGAAGAAGAAGGAGAAAAGCCAATCGGAGGACAAGATCAGCAAAAGTTCTGGGTCCGCCGAAAGCAATGCTGCGGCCAATACCAATCATCTGGCGGTCCCTAAGAGCAAAAGAAAGAAGTCGAAGAAGAAGAAGAAGGCTGTTAAAGCCACTGGGATCGCTAAGAACAACCCAGAGCTCAATACCGACAAGCCGACAGCCCCCTTGAACATGAAGACCGCGGCAAAGGATGGGGTTCGCAGAGGGTCCGAGACTATTGAGGGTAACGCTAGAGCAATCACCACAAAGTCGACAGTCTCTAAGAGCAAGAAGGACAAGGCGAAGGGGAAGATTGACAGCCATTATGAGACTGTCAAGAACAAAACAGAAGCCAGCATCGAACAGGAAGCAGCACCCAAGAGCAAGAACAAGATGGCGAAGACCGACAAGAAAGACAGGGCTACAGATACCAACGAACGCGCTGAGATGACACAGCCCGAGAGTTCCACCGGCTCATCAAAGACGCAGAACAACAAGAAGGTCGGGACTTGCCCCGAGTCTGACAAGGGTCAGGAGAAGGCAGAAGTCAGCCAGACAACCGGTGGTGGACTCTTCTCCGTCTTTGAGATTGAGTGCATGAAGAAAGTCCAGGGTCGCGTTGAACGCGGGATCAAAGATTGCCAGGAAGTGTGGACAGTGATACAGAAAATGGAGGAGGCAGTGGCAGAGTCGAAGCGGGCCAAAGCCAGAAAGATGCAAGCCCAAGAGCAGGCGAAGTGCTCTGCCTAGGGTGGTTAGTCAAGACTTCAAATGATCCCATTAAGACTGCCCTCAATGTCACTTATCAGGGGAGAGGAATGTGGATGAGGGGAATGACAGAGTATGGGCAGACGGCATGAGAGGCAATGAGGTGGACTGCAGGCCCAGATATCATAGGGAATGCCTGGCAGCTTTTGATCCAGAGAGCTTTCATAAGTCATCCTCCATGCAATTGTGGCAGTTTGCTCATCTTTCAATAAACATGAAGTTTGAATCAGAGTGTCAGAAGATGAATCTCTTTCTCTTGAGTGAGCAACAAGTGGTAGATGAAGCTGACCCTGGTTACATTCACCTTGCTTGAATAAGCACTGGGAGAGGCTGGTAAGTATTCCATCACGCACAAGACTGGAACGAGTCGGCGGTCAAAAATAAACAAAAAGATACTGAGGTAGGCGCGTTCCTTCCGCGCCTGCACCTGGGCCGATTGATATTTGCCCAACTCTCAATTTTCACCTTTCACCTTCCTCACTCAACCCACCCACCCCATCTCAACACACTTTTCTTGCTTTCACAGCACAAAAGAAAGAAGGGTATTCCATCCTTCTCTCACTTTTTGCCATTTTGGAATCACAAACAATCACCCAAAGTCACAGTCAGGCCAAATAGAAGCCATGCCTGATTCCACTTCGAACTCTGCTTCGGACTCTGCTTCGGACTCTGGCTCAGAGTCTGCCTCTGACCATGAGGGCTCTCAGCTGCCTTTCCGCAGCAGCCGCAGCGCCGCGAGACGGAGGCGCAGAGTCCGTCAGGTATGCCCTTCCCAATCCTCATTCTTTCACTGCCTCGCTGTATCCCTAGAGAAACAGTGTGAAGTTCGCTCAAAGGAAAAATGAAAAAAGATCATTCCCACTCACCTCACTCTCACAGATGCAAGGACGGCGTCTCTATGAAGCCGATCTTCCTGATCATGACGAAGATGATTCTGATGATGGCTCTGGAAGCGAGTCTTCTGCGCAGTGGGCTACGACCCTTTACGCCACTCCTGGGCAGCTGAGAAACCTGCCCCCTCTTCCTCTCAATCACTCGAACTACATGGCCGACAATGCTTCTATTGCTCACCCCGTCAGTCCCGTCCCGGGCTCTCCTGTCCTTACAGAGTCTGGTTCGGAAGACTCTGAAAATGGACTTAACAACGCTGTCTTCGATGATTCTGACATCGACGAGGCTGCTTCCGACATCTCTGAGGATAGTCTTGCCGACGTCGTCCCCGATCCTGGCGTCATCGAAGCGATTGCCCCTGTGGGTTCTGAACGAACTCCCATCATGACCAAGTGCGCTCGTATCATCACTAGAATGAGGGCCAGAATTGCGGAAAATCCTGTCAACACCGTTCAAGAGCGCCGAAATGCCATTGAGACCATCGGCGAGATCTTTCCGCTGCGCCGACTGACTTACCGTGGGGGCCTTTTCACTCAATTCCAGCCCCTCGGCCTGTGGCATGAAGAAACCCTTCTTAGCAACATAAGGACCTCGTTGGCACTGGAGCTGGTTTACAACCACCTGCTCGAGTGGTGCAATACTGTCAGGGTCCTCAGGGATCAAACGCGACAACTCAGTGACGAGGTCAGTGACGAGGAGTACATCACTTCCGAGGAGTTCCTCACTGACGAAGAGGACTAGTTGAACCAGATCAACCAGGAGCTACAGGGTGTTCGAGAGATGTTAGAGGGTCAACACTATGTGCAGTCGATACCTTTGCTTACACAGTCCGATTCGAGCGACATCAACATTACTGTCCGCAGCCCTCGCGAGCTGCGCATCGAGATCATCACGTTCGTAGCCAGGGCGATGGGCTTCATTGTCGCCTCGACCTACATCAACGTCTACCGCCTACATCTCTTAGAGACTCTCTCCTTACACCCCCACCTTGTCATCGCGACGCTGGGTTGGGCAACTGCATTGGTTTTGTTGGCCCACTTGTTCTTTGGCCTGTGGTCTTGAATGGTCTCCCAAGAGGAGAGCTGGATGGTCCAAAGAGGTTATCGGGAGGCACGTTGGGCATTGGAAAGCCACTTGGCTTTGTGCGTTGTTGCTGTTTGACAGGTAGTCTTCCTATGGAGGACTTCTCATCATGATCATTAGTGCCAGAGGTAGCCGAGGGCAAATGTTACACAAGAGCCACCCACTGACCACATCTCACTCATTTCAATTATGTGCGGGCAGAGAATAATCCGAGACGTAGGGTTTTGCAGGACTCTATTAGAATAGCTCACGTGCCATGTCGAATATTGAGAAAGCATAGTTCTCAACTCTGCTGCAACACTTCATGTTTGACCTTTTTCAGACCACGCCATCCATCAGAGAGAGCGGTAAAAATAAGGGGTGAGAAGAATCCGGAGCCCGATGACTAAGAATACGGGCATTTCCAACTGACAAGACCGGAAAAGGGATGTTTCGAATGAGTTTATGAGCTTTTGAGGAAGTTCATCACCTGGACGCAGCGCGTAGGTGTTCACAGCAAGTTCAGTTCATCCGCAAAACACCCATGACTCGCGGCACCGGTGTCGGGATCATAAAGCACCGCCACCTTGGATCCGTAGATTTTTTGTTTTTTCTCAGGGGCGTGCTCCAGCTTTTCGGCCCAGTGGTGCCCAGCCGGGGCCCGATGAATAAGGGGGTTTTCTCCACAAGCTTCCCCAACATCGTTACCCTGGCGTGCAGGCGGAGAAAGGCAATTGCCCCAAGATGAGTTGGAGAAGCTCTAGAACTGCCAATGTCTCTCAATAAACGGTCACATGAGGCAAGTTAAAATTGGAATTCCAGCCACGAGCTCTGTTGCGTTGGTGACAATACGAGAGAGACCCTGAATTGCAGGGCCAAGCTGCCAATAGCTCGGATATAACAAGGGTTTTGGGGAATTAGAGCTTGTGTGCTAAATTTAGGTAGGTGAGCCTTTGAGAGATGGCGGATTTCCTTCCGTTGTGCGTTGATGTTTGTCTCTTGAAGTTGCTCTTCGGTCTAGAAATACAGCTTGTAGCAAGGCTGAGGCTGGAATGTTTCGACTCGATTCCGCCTCCCCGTGCCTTTTGATTGGTCTCCAGAGGCTTCTAAGCATTCAAGCCACAGGTGTCTCGTTTCTCCAGGTTGCCAAAGTGCCAAAATGTTGAGGTCAGTGATAGTGGCAAGGTGTGCTTTGGTAGCTCCACCTCTGATCCCAGTTTATCAGGCCGGACCAGTCCAAAAACGTCACCGGGCCCAGTTTATCAAAAATCAGACTGTCTGTCGCTCTCTCATTAAAAACTTGCGGTCAGGACTCAGGAGGCAGCGGTGTGTTCTTGATCACTTCAACTTTCATCCTCAAGCTCACTCCCCCCTTTCTCTCATAATTCGCTCTCGCTATCTCATCAATCACCTCCTAAATTGCTCGTCTGTACCAATTATCTACTTTTAATCCTAAGATGCCTCACAGCACGGAATGCCTTAAGCTCACCAGCAACAGCCTGTCGTCAATCTCCTCTCAGGAGGGCAAGCAGACCGTAAAGGTCCCCACTTACGACCGCAGCGTCGTCAAGGAGGGCATCGTCCACGTCGGAGTCGGCGGCTTCCACAGAGCTCATCTCGCTGTCTACATCGACCGCCTTCTCCAGAAGCACGATGAGCGCGACTGGGCCATTTGCGGCGTCGGCCTCCGGCCCAATGACGCCGCTATGCGCGACGTCCTGAGCGCCCAGGACCACCTCTACACACTCATCGAGCGCTCAGCAAAGGGCAGTAACGCCAGCGTCATTGGCAGCATCAACTCGTTCCTCTTCGCGCCCGACGACCGCGAGGCCGTCATCGCTAAGATGGCTCACCCCGACACCAAGATCGTGTCCCTGACCATCACTGAGAGCGGCTACTACTACTACGAGAACACTCACCAGCTGCAATCGGAGCACCCCGACATCCAGCACGACCTGGCCAACGAGGACCAGCCCATCAGCATCTTTGGCTTCCTCTACGCCGCGCTCGCCAGGCGTCACGCCAACGGCCAGAAGCCCTTCACCGTCCTCTCCTGCGACAACATGCAGAAGAACGGCTCCATCACCCGCTCCATGCTCGAGTCCTTCGCCCGCCTCAAGAACCCAGAGATCGCCGCATGGATCGCCGAAAAGGGCGGCTTCCCCAACGCCATGGTCGACCGCATCACTCCCAGCACCTCCCAGAACGACATCAAGTCGCTCGCAGAGGTCTTTGGCATCGAGGACGGCTGGCCCGTCGTCACCGAGCCCTTTATGCAGTGGGTCGTTGAGGACAAGTTCTGCGACGGCCGCCCGCCCTTTGAGAAGGTCGGCGTCCAGATCGTCGAAGGCGTCCACGAGGTCGAGCAGTTCGAGAAGCACAAGCTCCGTCTCCTCAACGCCTCGCACTCCGCCATGGCCTACCCCGGCCAGCTCGCCGGCTTCAAGTACGTCCACGAGGTCATGGAGCACCCCATCTACCGCAAGTTCGTGTGGCAGATGATGCAGGAGGAGGTGAAGCCCCTGCTTCCCGAGATCCCCGGCGTCGACATTGACGAGTACTGCAACACTCTCATGGAGCGCTTCTCCAACCCCACCATCATGGACCAGATCCCCCGTGTCGCTCTCGGCGCATCCGGCAAGATCCCGCAGTTCATCATGCCCTCCATTGCCGAGCAGATCTGGACCACGGGCCCCTTCCGCCGCCTGTGCTTCGTCGCCGGCGCCTGGTTCCGCTACATCAACGGCGTCGACGACGAGGGCAAGACCTTCACTGTCGACGACCCGATGCGCGAGGAGCTCCAGGCCCTGGCAAAGGCCGGCGGCAACGACCCGCGCCAGCTGCTCAGCGTCAGGATCCTGTTCGGTGACGACTTGCGCGGCGACCAGCGCTTCATTGATGAGGTCACCAAGGCCATGGAGCTCATCGCCAAGGATGGCGTGATGGCCACCATTCCCAAGTACGTTGATTAAAGCGAATCAATACTGGGAAGTGTAAAACTGTTTGTCGACTTGTGCTGGTACAAGCAGCCTTTTATGTTATAATGAGTAAAGCAGGGATAAAAATGGGTACTTGAAGCGGTCATGAGGATTTATAGATATAGATATAGATATTTATAGAGACATTTGTGTTTTGATTTTGTACAAAAGAGGCTCCTCTGTGCGTCTATACGAGGACTTGACTGTGACACATACACCAAATATGGAGGTGCCGTGCGCAAACGAGCAGGAGAGGGATCCAAGGCTATTCAATTGCTTGCAAGTCTCCCGGCAGCTTCCAGATATTCTCAGAGCTCTTTAGTGCGTCGGGCAGACCACTTGCCTCCCTCACCTACCTGGCAGACTTTTGTTGTTCTCATTAACCCCTCTTTTTGGGCTCGACCAAGCCAGGCAAGGGAAAGAAACACTCGAGAGGGAGCGGACAACCCCTTGGCTCCGTATCTAGAACAAAGAGGTCAGTTGACCTAGCTCCTTGTTACTTCAGCTGTGTGATGGCCTCAATCCGTCCCAAGGGCTCTCTCGACTGGAGCACAAGAGGGTTCTTTAGAAATCCGAAAACGATGAGGGTGCTGTCCAATAGCTACAAATAGGCCTCTGTTGCCAGTGATCGGGACATTTCTTTTTCTGGCCATCGACTCTTCAACACTCAAAGACCAATCAGGTCCGCTTTTGCCTCCAGACCCATTCATATCATAGCTTCGGCACAGCTTTCAGAGTCGTCTGCCTGTGATTGGAGCAACTTGCAAAGTCTTTTGCCACGACCCTCGCCAGTAAGTTACTGAATTCTACCACAGTGCCACACATGTTCAGCCTCCATCTCAAGTTGCTAAGTACTGACGAATTCCAGTCTTCAGATCACCAATCATCTTTCCACCATGGATATCAAGTGGAATTTAACCGTGAGCGAGAGAGTGAGTTGCTACTTACATCCAATTCTACCTTTACTCGGCTGACCTGATGAACCTGGAAAGACTGAGAAACTCGTCTCAGCCGGCGCCGACTTGACTATCCTGCATGAGGCGCAGAAGATCCTGAGCCCCGAGGTAGCCGAGCGGGTCGCCGACGAACTCACTACGGAGGAGCAAAAGGAGAAGGTGTTTGAGGGGATCCATTGCGTCGCAGCTGTTGATAGCTCTTCGTTTGCCTTTGAGACCTTGGTCGACATGTACCTGATGTCTTACAAGCTCAATGAGGACCAGAAAAAGGCGATTGAGAATCTGAGCAGCGAGGTTAAGGAGTTGCGTGAGCAGATACATAGGCAGCGCATCAGGGTACAGCGCGTGGAGCGATTGGTCAGCAAAACCAAAATCAGGGATGAGTCTTATGGGTATTAGAGTTCGCCAATCTCTCTACTTTGGGGTACATGTACTTGAGAGCAGACATGGCCTGAACTAACAACACCCACCAAGTTTGATGTATTCAACTTGCTCCAATCATTCGGCTGGAATGAATCAATGTTTTCAAGCTACGAAGAGTTGCGTCATCCAGATGAAGCAAGCATCGCGAGTAACACAGAGTTGAGCCCGAAAAGTGTGGAGGTGATCACGGATATCGTCCGTTACCTCACATTGAGGAATACTGTGGGCGCATATTGCCATTGCTGTGGCACTCAATCCCTGCCCATGTTCAGCATTATCCACATGTTCGAGCTCGTGCGGCAGCTGGACCAGGACTTCCACAACGAGCTAGAAGAGATCTGCGCGTTGCTTAATACCCAGGTGACCGGCGCTGAATTCACGAACCAGGAAGATAGTGATTAGGGCGGTGGCAATTGTTCTGTTGCTCCTCGCTGATGCGGCTTTCAGGATTTGCAAAATGGTTGACTCTATGCACAGCAGGCGAAGCGCACATTTAGTTTTGCAGTCGGATTGGGAGTGATAATGAATGAATGAGCATCATTATCGATAGCACCGCAACCGAGAAACATATTCTATCGTTCCTTATGGAACCAGTAACATCAACTAGTCCTTGCTTCAACCTCATACCTCGCAACTCCTCGTGAACTTGATGCAATTAGAACCTGCAGTGGAACCTCATATCACATGTAGGAAGGGAGTTCAGGAGGTGGGGACAGCCCGGAGTACCTAGCAGTCTCGGATGTGGCAGCTCCACAGCCGCTGAACCATGTGGGCACTGGTCGTTCCTTCCCGGCCGAATCTCAACTTCACCTGCTCCTGCCCACCGACCATACCCAACTCTCCAGCGGGGAAGTTGCCTAAATATCTCTTATTTTGCGACCCTGTCACATGATTCGATACGTTCTTGTTCAAGAAAATTCAGTGAGTCTCGAAATCGTATTTTCTCGAGCCCAGAACCAATGATATCCTCGTTTCGCTCCACCCGTCGCGATCACTCTTCTCATCTGAAGTAATAGTGAATATACAGACTCAGGCATCACGCCTTTCAACTTCTCTTTCTGCCTCATTCCAACAAATCTTTTTCTCAATCATCCAGTAGATTCAAATAATCCGTCCGGTACGTACTCAGCAGCACACCCTCGCGGTCGAGCAGGGCGCAGAGAACATCAACAGGCTCTTAGAGAAGACGGAGGGTATGCAGCAGGATATCGATACCATGAAAGAGGTGGTCGAGGGCCACGGTGCCGAGATCGCCGCGCTCAAAAGCAAGCTTGCTGCGGCCCTTGGCGGTGAGGCAGGAGATACGCACAAGCACACTCAGATCATCCAACCGGGCCAGATGGAGGATTCCGGCAAGGGCTTATGCGACGAGATTAAAGCTTTGCAGCGCCGCAACAAAGAGATACAAGCTGAGGTGACTGCTATGAGAGAGGAGATGAATGCCCGCCTCCAGTATACCGGACAAAAGCGGAGCCGCAGCGATGAAGACGACGAGGCTGGAGGACACCCTCAGAAGAAGGCAAAGATAGTCAGAGGAGAGGTGGGTGAGGCTGGAGATATGCAGGGAAGCCGCGGCCCCGTGGCAGAGACTGGCGAGACCTGGGTGCCTTCCCGACTCCGGGAAGGCAGAAAGACCACTGCCCACTTCTGATTTGAGTGTCAGAGCATGTTAGTAGAGAAACGCGTGGGATTGTAGATTGTCAAATGTTTTGTTCTTGACCTTCCTTTCCTAGTCATCGGGGCTCCGGTGCCGTGGGACCTATATGCAGTGTATGTAGTCGTGAAAAGCCGCTGGCGGCCGCAGTAGGCGCCATCTAACCTTCGAAGGTGCGAATGATGTGAGATAATGCGTCGTCATCATTATCATCATCATCATCATAGCCGCATTCCGTCGCCTCATCCTTGGAGTAAACAGCATGGATGCTGGGACCTCAATTAAAGGCTATCACACACTAGCCATTCTACAAAATAAAAAAGGAAAAAGGAAAAACAAAAAGAAGGTCCTGAAATAGGTCCCTGGCAAGTGGCAACTGGGCGCCCAGCGATATTGCAGTGCCAAGCAATGGAGCAGGCGTAAGACAAATAAACACGATTTTAGAGCAGCTGGGACCTTGTTGTTGAGCTGGCTGTATACTTGACTGATTAGGTCCTTAGGAAGCTTGTGAAAATATCTGGTTTCGTAGGAGAGAAAAGCGATGGGTATCGGACACTTGAAAGGAGACCATCACTTCTCAAAGGTGGGAAGGATGGAAGGGCATCGGAGATACCCTGGATTCGGTTGAATTGCATCATTGAGATGGCATCCAATGACAACAGTACTGAGTCGAAAGAGCGCTTGTGCACATGGACATGAATATGTGATTTCACAAAGCAGCCTTTGTAGTATGTGCCTGTTCCCTCACATCCCCTCAAGTACCGCCTTGCTACAGACAAGACAGACAAGCCTTCATGCAAAGTTCCACATCAGGGTAGCCACCAGCTTTGAAGCCCCCAACCACCTCTGAGACGAATTCTGTCATTGTCCGAGGGAACAGAGTCAAGGCCGTCATGGTCCACTGGCTGACTGGCTTGAGAAAGACCACTGACGCACCAATTTATGCTCATCGTCACTTTGAGCAGATCCAACTCAAATCCTGTCACAACCTCTTTGACATCCAAGCCTTCCATCATTGACAAGTCGACAGAAATCTAGTTTTTGTCAGCGAAAGTTGTCATAGAATGTTGTGGAGGTGCTCGAACCAGGTCCGAAATCTGAATTCCTTCCTGAGCAGCCTGCCTGTTGTTGGCATTGATCGCATCTCTCATGCGACCAATGAGTTGTCCGACTTCCTCTTCCACCTTCTTGAATTTATCTCGTCCAATATGGCTCGTGGTGTTTGTACTCGGCTGGGTGTCGAGGGCTGCCCAGATACGCTCCAGCCTTTCCCAGATCGTATTGGACTGGAGTTGAATAGCAATAGTCATCTGCATGCTGTCCCAGAGCTTTTCCATCTCCTGGGGCGGGAATAGTCAGCTTTCCAGATTTCTCGAAATGAGATGTGTGATGCGAGGGTCAACTATACCGCTTCTCCTCCCATGATGACCGTCATCTTTCTTCCATTCTCGTCGGTGGCCACTTGTGTTTCTTGGGCTTATCCTGTTTGCCATCCTGATCGCCCAGCTGCTCGATGGTCTCTTGGTGGACCCGTTTGGTCTTCGTCCCCCTTTTCTGCTTCTTCCTGGGTACGCTCTTCTTTTTGGCCATCGTGAGGGGATTCGTGTGTTTGGTGGAGTGTACTATCTGTATGTAGAGTTCTGGAGCTGAAGGTCGGCATGTGTTGAAGAGAAAGATGGAGGATGCCGTTTGCCGGTATTTTACGTTGTTGGGAGCGCAAAGGGTAGAAAGGGTCAACCGAAGTGTTAGGCTGGGAAAGGTGCGGGTGGAGGCAGATCCTGTGCAAACAGCCACGCGCCCATGCCGCGCGACGTGTCGTGCCTTTTAGGCATCAACCACAACATTTGAGTCTTCAACCTGAGATGGAAGGCGACTGGAGGAGACTCTAAAGTTGAAGATTTCTGGACGTAGCTCGTAGATATTTGCATGTATCAGTTGGTCTAGTAATTCTTGGCAAGCTGAAGGACCTTCTCACGAGGTTACAAATCCAACTGATCTCCGCTTACCAAAACAAGCGCACCACGCCGAATGCCACACAGCCAATAGCTCTTTATATGAGTTGAAACTTTGGCTACCTGAATGATTCCGATAAGCTGTTGGTGGTTGACCTATAGGTACACTGAACCCCTTTGGTTATCAGGTAAAGACGTGCCCCTCCTTCCCAGCACACTTGCGCCAATCTGGTGTCGGACCCCGGTCCGGCCCGCTGGAAGTGTCTTCCGGTGGCCCCCATTGGCCTGCAAGCTGGCTGCACTGCCTCCTCACCAGCCCCCTCCGCCAACCACATTCGTCCAGTGACATTCCCAGACCTGTGGCGTTTTTGGGTGTTGAGTGCGGCTTAAAGGTTCTTTGATGACGCACCTTTCGAACTATCTACATAGTCCATACCAAAGAGCATTACCTTTGATTTTGCCTCGGTCGATGGCAACCCTGCTTATGCCCCAAAGAGAGTGGAGGTGAGATTGAGGCAGCACTTCTGTTGTGCCGTAGAGCCTTTGTCGACAACCGGGACAACATGAACTCAGGTGCACTCAGATTGAAATTGGGCTGAGCTTTATCGAATCGCATTTAATGAAATTTGGTTGGAAAGTTGATCTTGTTGCATTTTCTCATTACATTTAGGCTATCAGACACACAGCCGGGAATGCTAGGATGACTGTAACCTTGGAATTGATGTCTCTGATTACCCTATCCTTGAATCCCAATACCGAAGCTGGCGGTCCACCAGGTAGCCCAATCCTTTACCTTCTCAATCCGAAAGACAAAAGACTTAGGTCTTGAGAGAACATCCAGACTTTGCCAATAGTGCACGACCGGCCGTAAGTCAGAGACATCTCACATATGGTAAACGTAAGTTGCGGTCGGCTGGGTACGCTTCTCGAAGGCCTCAAGCTCTTCCTGAACAACATCGTGGGCCAGACCCTCCATGTTCTGTCCAAAGTCCTCCTCAATCTCGGCCTTCACGTCCTTGTACAGATCGGTCTTCATAGCGTCCTTGACCTTCGAAACCTCCGCAGCAACGGTGACGGGGACCAGCGACTCGATCTGGGAGAGCATCCACTGAGAGTCATCGCCAGTCTTCTTCTTGATGGCGTCATCCATCTCCTTGGAAAGCTGGTTCTTGAAGTAGAAGTCGAGAGCGACCTGCAAGTTGGCGACGACACACCCTTGAATGATGGGAAGAGCACCTCGAATCGCAGGGAGCATGTGCTCTTCAGCCTTGGTCGCAAGAGTAGTGCCGATGGCTTGCTGGGCGTCGTGAACAATCTTGAAGACATCGTTCTTGATCTCTCCCTTCATAGTGTCTTTGAGCTGGTCCAGAGCATCCTGCGTGAGAGCGACCTTAATTCTGTTGAAAACGTCTTCTTTAATCTCATTCTTCAGCTTGTTGTTGACTCCGTTCTGGATCTCCTTGAGCTCGGCAATGACACTGTCCTTCACGTCCTCCATGATGTCGTACTTGAGCTGGCTAACCATCTCAAGTCTCATCTCGCGCTTGACGTCCTGCTTGACCTTGGACGTGATATCACACTTGAGGATACGCTTGAGCTCCTCTCTGAGCTCGTAGTAGAGGCGGCCCTTGATGTCGCCAGTGAGTTCCTTGGCGAGCTCCTGGATGAGACGCTCCTCGATTGAGCGCTTGAAGTCTCCGTCGACTCTGGCCTGAAGCTCCTTCTTGAGCTCGTTCTGGAGTTCGTGCATGATGTGAGCCATGAAAGCAGCGGTGTTGTCGCTGGTAAGCACCTGGTCAAAGACAGGCGCCTCCTTTGACGGACTTACGGAATGATAGGACAAGGGGGAGTTGCCATCGACAGAAGTGTCCCCACGGGAAGAGATGTCAGACAGAACTGAACGCTCAGACTTGATGCCCTTCAAGCCAGATAAGGCGTCTTTGGACGCTCCAGGGATGTGTCCCCAGCAGCAATCTTCGACAGTATCCTTGATAGAGCTAACGCTGTTGGTACCCTCGATGTTGTTAGTATATTCAGTCGACGTAGCGCTGCCGGTGCGGCCAGAAGCGGCAGGGCGGTGAACGTGGTGCTCGTTTGCCATGAGCTCAATCGGCTCATGGTTCAAGGCCTGAATGATGCGCTTTTTGGTCTCTGCCTCGATCTTGATGTGCTGCTGCTTCTCGTTCTCAAAGGCTTCCTCAGCCGCAGCAATCTTCTTGTTGGTCTCGTCAAGACTGGCATTCAAGGCGACTCTCTCCATCTTGAGCACCTGCAGATCTATGGTCAGTATTGCAATCATTGGCGCTCATCAATCACATCGCAGATCCATCACTGTGAAAAAAAGCAGCGTGAGAACTCACCTTGATGAGGTCGACAGACTTGATAGTCTCAGAAACGAGATGCATCTTGGCAAACCGGTACACCTAGAATGATCAGCAAAAGTGGATCGAGATTGGTATGCGAAGAGATCCTTACGCTGAGTACGCGCTGGCTTGTAGTTCTCGTTGAAATTTTGTTTTGAGTGATGCTCAAATGTAAAGATCGTAAGATGATACGACTTGTTTTGCGAAGTGCGCGTGGAAGAGTGTCTATGAGAGGGGAAGAGTGAGGCAATGTGCGCGTGGGAGGAAATAGAAGATGAGGCCGGGAGAACGCGAGATAGATTGTTTTGATGGCGCGTCGGGAAGATTTGTAAAAGGTGCTTGAGAGGGAAGGCGCGATTGAAGGAAGGAGCTGGGTCAGAAGGTTGAGGAAGGTGCCTGCCATCAAACCCAGACAGACCTCACCTTCACCTTCATCTTCACTTTGGCCTAAGGTGAGAAGCATCCCAGGCACTCTGGCTTACAGACAAGATGTCTGAGGCATTTCCCTCTGTGTAGCTATTGGACGAAGAAAGATAATCGTCAACTGCCATACAATGGAAGCCGGAACGGGACAGCTTCTTATCGAGCTCTCAACAGCACTAATCCGGGTTGTAGAAAAGCGTTCATACGCCGTGTTGCCTGTACAAACCACCCAATTAATGGGAAAGATTCAATGAACTCAAGTTTGGCCGGATATAAATACAAACGACGAATGGCGTGTCATCATAATGGCCTCATAGACCCCTTCCTCGTCCGGGAAGCAATGGAACTTTTCCTATTCCGCATCGCCTTGAGCCCTTAGCTAACATCTCATGCCCCTAAGCGTGCTGCCTACGGCCGTACCTCACATTCGGATCTGGTATGGAGCTCCCATCGTCGTGGTTTTGGGCTGACCTTTCTGTTCTCCCCTGGTGTCGAGTCCTATTTCGCTTTGGGCCATCATTGTTGCGTTACAAAGTTTCCTTTATTCCGCTTCTGACCTTATATTCCAGATAGTTTGAACGACTATCACTCTCTCTCGGAGGGACGATTCCCCGGTCCCGTTATTGAGCTTTGGTAGTTTGCGGGTATCGAAGTGGTTTGCAATCGCTACATGGAAGTGAGATGTCGCTTCCCAAGTTAGGCTCATTCATAGAAACACTCGTAGTATCTGCCTTGACACCGCCTCTGAAGTGTTCATCTGTATTTGGCTGAGTCTTGCTTCCCTTTCTTGGCATATAATTTCCGCAGTAATCCATTTTCGGGATCCTCGGGATCCTGGGGGTCTTCACACTTGCGCAGTCGCTTGAGTCCAGTTGCGACGTACGTTTGCTGTTGGAGGTAGAGACAGTTAGGGCAATGTTCCATTGCGCCTCCTTTGTTCACAATCGCCTTCACGAGTCTCACGTATAATTTGTCAACTACCGTGGCTGTTAGAGACATCAGCTTGCAGACGGCGGTGGTCGGCATTTTGAGCACAATTCCTGCCGTCAATGAGCTCCCCAAAGTTGGAATCGTTTGACTCCTAAATTGCAAGCTCCGTTTTCTTCAAGCTTTTTCAGAGCGCCTATAATACCAGCATCACAGCCATAATGCAAAAGAATTTCTGCAATGGCCCTCCTCATAAGAGCGAGAAATTTGACGGACAGGGGTGTTTGGTAGGGGGCCACCTGCACATTGAACGTCACATCGACAGTGGTTTAAGCCCTCATTAGCCTCCCGTGAGTCCCGTCCTTGCTTCACAATTAACAATTTGTGACTCCGGAGTCTGGACCGTTGTGGCTGCCGAGAATAACCCCAGCGCTTCGAGTCAATGAGTTTTGGAATCTCCCACGCGCGCAGTTTTGCTGACGTGAACTTAAAGTTTAGGGCTTTATTCATGCTCGGATTGAAAGCGCTCTTTTGACGTCTCATAATTAGCGAGAACGAGGACGCAACCAAAGAAGAGACTTGGCCTGAGTAGTCATCCCGGCAGATTGCCCCCTATAGAAAACAGAGTGCCCTAGCCGGGCCCACCAACTCAATACTTAACGGCCCGGGTACTTGAACCATTTGAAGTGAAGGAACTGAGTCAGCGGGAAGGAGAAGCTTAAGAGCACGGTCGGGGCGTCTCTGACATAGGTTGTTGCCAAGAACATGGGGGCTGAACTTATGTAGGGGGGGAGGTCCAACCGTCCAAAGAGCCTGGTCTTGATTAGCATCTGAAAGGGACGAAACACTTAATCGAAAACCAATAGTGAGGGCCAAATTCTACTCCTGAATTGCACTCATTCTGACGGGAAAAGCTCGGTGACCTTCCCATCCCATGTGCCCACCCTGTCGCCATGTTTTCCCATCCTCGACGCTAACATGAATATAGCTGCAGAGTTTTGCGACGCGCGAATCCGACATTGCACTTATCGGGGTGTTTTCGACAGACTCAAATGATCCCGATCAGGCCGTCCGCGCAAATGAACTCCCCGAAACACCATTGTTGATTCCGTTGTCGTGTTCGTACTCCTCAATCCATACAATGACTCGTGCGAGAACAGATTCAACGCCCTTGAGCAAAGTTGAGTAACCCGTTCCAAGCTCATTGACCGTTTCGATTTTCGGAGCTTGCGATTCCCCTTCGCTTCTGAGTCGGGTGAAGCTAAGCATCTGCAAAACTCTGTTATACAAAGTCATGAGTTCTTCCTTCTTCTTCAGGAGCATCTGGTAGTCTTCCGCAGTCTTGGGTTGTTCTTCAACTTCGCGAGTGTCCAGATGTTCGAGTGCGACTGACACGAGTTTTGTCACGGCCGCGATGTCTTGTGCGCTTATGCCCTCAGATGTGGGGGTGCTCGTTGGCGGGTTACCGTTGCCCTGATGGTACGTCAACGGTTTTGCCGGCCTATTTGACAACGAGCTTCGCCTGAACCTATTGGGAGAGAACGTACATTGACTGAGTCGGCCATCATCAAATGTATTCGACTATTCGTACGACATGAGCGCATGAGCTTGCTTGGGTCGCGAAGCGCGAGGCGGGAGGCCGAGGATCCAATTTGTCTGATCGGCTGGTATTGGATTCTTGTGAGATAAAGGCAGCGTTAGAGATGTTGAAAGGAGAAAGATGGGGACCTGTAAGAAGATAAGGTAAGCGACTTTGACAACAGACAGGGAGAGTGAGATCAATGACCAGGTAGGTAACAACCGTGGGAAGTCCGAAGCGCTCAGCAAGGAAAGTGCTCTTTGACGCCCTTTTCTTATATTGGAACCACATAACTTGCCCATGCTCTTTCCGCTGGTCAGATTCTATCGACTCCAAGACATGTCAGTTCTGCAAAAGGGAAGGGTCTTCAATTCAAGCCACAACGGTGGTAAGGCTGAAGT